GGAGCCCTGTTTTCCTGGAGATGGCTGAACACCTGCCTGCCGATGGGAAGGAGTGAATGAATTCCTTGTTTTGCTTTGCTTGTGTGCACGGCCTTTGCTTTACCTATTAAACTGTCTTGATCTCAACCCATGTTTTCTCACTTTTACTCTTCTGATTCTCTCCCCCATCCCGCCAGGGGAGAGGGAGTGAGCAGCTGGGTGGGGCTTAGTTGCTGGCTGGGGTTAAACCACGACAAGATACCACAGGGACAGTTTGTCACTTTAGGATAGGAGAGACCAGATGGTGCAATAACACATTTCCAGCAGTGCCCTAATCACAGTGGAAAACACTTGTTTCAAAACAGAAGTGCCATGAAGTTGCTGAGAATCCATGTTCTATTGGTAGCACAGCCAAAACATCAGCATCTTGTTTTTCTTGCCTTTTCTTGCTTTCCCAATTTCTTCCTTGGAGTTTCAATAGTATTTACAGGTAGCAAGAAATTATGGCTGTTCCTTCCATAGTCATTTATTTTTTTCCATGTCTTCTGTCTCACCTAAAACAAGCCCTCCACTAGACTGTCTATCTGCTTAGAGCTCAACATACACATAAAGGACTTTGGAATAGGGCCAGGATTCAAAGCATCATGTGGGATTAATCATCTGTTGTATAATAGCAAAACACTTTGCTATACATCAAAATCCTGAGCTATCTAGGTCAGAAAGGCTTTTTATGTTCTGATTTCCTGCTTAACACCACCACCACAGTACAGCTGTAAGGATTTAAATTTCTGTTTTACAAAGTGAAGATGCAGCTATCAACGCAAGTGAACAGGGGAGATGAGTTGTTCCAGTATGACTGCACCATCTCCCAGCTGTGGCAAATAGTATTTGGCAGTGCTCAAAAGACTATAAACTACTCAAAACCTGGGAGTTAGAGATGGAGCTTCCTACAAAGCCTTCTTAATAATGAAAAAATAAATTTTAACTCAATATTGGCTAATTTAAGCACATACACTGGATTTAATGATGTGACTATTGTAGGAGAAGCAGGAACAAAGAACTATGTTTCGAAAGTAAACAAACTCTAGGAGCATTTTGTCACCACACACAGTCCATCAGTTTGAGGAGACAGAGCACTACTGTGTCTCACACGAATCCAGTGAAGCTGGACTTTCTTAAAGTTGCGTTACCCTGAGGTCCACAATCAACATGGTGTCCCCATGCTCTTCAGTGAAACACTAATGTCCTACTGTGACTGAGCAAATGTCTGCACATGATATAATTCCTTCATCTTTCTTAGCATTGAATTTAAAAATACCCAAGACATCAATTAAATTCCTTGCAACAAATGGAATTAAATCATTATTGTTAAGCATGCCAACACGAGGAAAAGGTAAAGCTAAAGGTCTCCTTGCAACATTTAGATATTCTCATTGGTGTTGTCATGCCACATATCATTTATTTGTGACAGGCCACATATCATTTATTCGTGGCAGTCTTCAATCTTTCTGCAAGAAATGAGTGAAACAGGTAGGAATAAGGTAGGATGCAGTCCACTGCATCTGAGCACCATTAAAACCAAACAGGAATCCTTTAAGATAAGTCTGGGACAAGTCTTTTAAAAAGAATTTGGTCAGAAAAATCCAGACTGAGCACTTTTCTTCAGAATTCAGCTATTTGTAAAAATAGAAATGTTTAGCGGAAGACAGCCTTGCTCACCAAAACAGTGCTGAAAATAAATTTCCATCTGAAATTTTCCTGGGTTTCTGCCAGTTTGTGTCTGAGTTCTCCTACAGCTCACAGTGCACTTCCTTAAAGTCTGAGTCTGAAGAGTTTGAAAATTTGTGTCTCCAGAGACACAAGCAGACTGCCTTGTAGGCGGCTGTTCTGCTGTCTTTTGGGGAGAATGCTGACTTTACAGGTTTTCTAATAAAATGAAAAAAAAAATCCGTTCTGAAATTTCAGAAATTTTGGAAATGTCAAAATGTTCTGACCAGTGGATTTACCTTTTCCTACCCATCTCTACTCGGAAGTTAATGCTTTCCTTTTAGTTCACATTAGTGGGAGAAGACAAAATTTAAATGAGTGTACAGGATGAACAATTTTCCCTCTTGTCATCTGTTTATATGATGACATCACAAAGACGTTTAAAAACTTCCCAGTAATGTAGACAGAAAGGACTGCCTCAGTCAAACTGGAGCAAAAGCAGTGAATGAGGCAGGAATCTACCCACTGAAATATAGGGAAAAGATATACTTTGAATGCTATCACACTTGCTGTTCATCTTCTGAGAGTTCAATAGGCAGAAACCCAGGAAAAAACCCTCATTACCCATTTTAATGTGCATTTATATGGATACTGCATGTAAGTCATAGAAGAAGAAAACTTGTCTTATATTTCATAGATGTATGTATGTATATACAGGTATGTAAGTTATCAGCAAAAGAAGCTTTTTTTAAATCCAATTTGGCTTATAGCAGCACAGTATGAATTAATAGCTTAGTCCGTTATGCAGGTGGAAAGGCTTTATTTGGAAGATATGGAAGCAGATTTTTAATAATTCTGATGGAAAAAAATCCCAGACAAATCAACATAATATTTCTGATATTGTTTTACCTTTCTTAATAAAAGAACTATGTCTGCTACGATTACTTATCGCTCAATCAAACACATACATTTAAACACCCAAATTGAGAGAGAGCGATGCTGTGGTGGCCGTCATGGCCTATGAACATAAAGTTGAAGGTCTGATGGTTTGTAGTGAGATGTAATACCTTTAAATGGTACAGATGAAAACATGAATTCATGCAGGAAGATTGTACGCCTGAAAGTTCACGTCTTTAACCTTAAACATCATTAAAAATGAACATCAAAAAAAAAGAGTAATTTTGAAAAAATAAGCACAGAAAGTCAGGAAATGTGAAAATAAAAGTATGAGATCTTAGCTCTGATGTCAAGTCTGCATTCAACTACTATGTACAGTTAAAATGTCTGTAAAAACAAACAGTTTGACAAATGTCAACATTACCTTCCTGGCGAGTCACCATTCTCGTCAAACAAGATCATGTCCCCAGAGACCCCAGTAAAGTTAGTCTTCATGAGGGATTCCAGGAGCTTCCGACCATCTATGGGCTTCATGGCGTCACAGAGGCCCACGTAGCCCGGGCATAGCGACATCTGCATGTTGTGGAGGCCGTACGCCATCGAGTATATTGCATTGATTACAAAGCCCATCTTGGAGTCCTGAACATGCTGCGTCCTCAGAGTCATCTGGCCTGCCGGGGAGCATCACAAAGCGGGTGGTTAGTGAATGGGGCTGAAATATGATCAGCTCTTCAGACATCTGTTGGTGGGTTGGTTATTAATAGTGGAAAAAGTCTTTTTAAGTGTCTTAAACAGCTCATAGCAGATGCTCTTACTGGTACACACACTGACCATGTTAAAAAAAAAAGAAAGGAATGAAAGAAGAGGCTCCCCTTAAATATTTTACTATCCAGCTGATGCCTTTCTCTGTGCAGCTCCACACCTTACATATGTTGTTTTTCGACTGCTTCTCTTCCATGTGTTTTTTTAAAGCATGTGTCATGAACATTATAATATAATGTTTTGGGGAATCCAGGAACTTCTCCCTGCCTGCAGAAATCTCTCCAAATCCTCAGAAATCTTCTGCTGAGGTGTAAATGCTAACATGGGGTCTTTTGTTTCAGAGACATGGGAACCAATCCTATGCAAACAGACCGACCTCCTTTACTGTACCAAAAGTTCCTGTGCTAATAACTCTCCTACTTCTATGTCTCTTGCTCCTCTCTATTTACGAAGTGAGGATAATGATGCAATGCAGATGAATGCATTAAAATGTCTGTGAAGGGTTTGATGATGCGGGTTAGGCAATGACTCTGTTTAGCCAGAATTGGTTAACCTTACTTTGGCTTTTAAAACATAATGTCTGGATTTCTATTTTCTACTTAAGCTTCTGCGAAATGCACAGTAAAAATTCATTCAGCAGCACCCTGAAGGCTTTTTTTTTTATAACCCAGTGTTATTAATGACACAGATTTGCTCTGTTGACAGCACCAGTCCAACTAAGGAAGAGTAGGCTGGAGGTTTTCTGCCTCGTATGTCATCAGCAAAGCTGCCAGCTGCACTTCAGCCATCAGATCTTTAATACTGGGGAAGTGAGAAGAGTCAGAGATAAAGCAACTGCATCAATGGTGCTGGGAATTTGTCAGACACCTGGAAAGATTTGGCTCTGGAGGGAGGACAAACAGAGAGCTCTACTAGAACTTTTGCTCTCCTTTTATCACTCAAGCAGCAATCCCTAGGAGCCAGGGAGTCCCGTGTGTGGGCAGCCAGGAGCAAAGGGAATGCAAATAACCCTCTCTGTCCACTCTGTGAGAGTCTGCCTCCCGTAGAGGCATTGGCAAGCGGCAGGGATGGAGCTTATACCTGCCCGTCTGAGCTACAGGGGCAGCACAATGTGAGAAGTAATTTACGCCACGAAAAGACTGATGTACAGGCAATTTTTTTCTTGAAAGAAATGAAGACTAATGTATGACTCTGAGGGTGGCACTCATCTAGTTTAACAATATCCATCCAGATGACAAGCGTCCAGCCTGATGTCTAGGCACCTTTTGTGGAGATGAGTAGGAATCTCCAGCTGGTGATTGATCCCGTCATAAAATAGGTGCATCTGCAAGCTCACCTTTTCGGTGGTGAACAAGAACATCACCACGCAGTTCTAACCACTAAAACATTTTGGAGTACTGAGAACATCAGGAAGGGTAGCGAAGATACATAGTTCAAACTGAAAATCATCGCGTAGAGGTCAGTAAGTGAATGAGGAGACTGAGAGTTGCCTTTTTCCCTTCTGTTTCGCATGGGAGCTGGCACTCCCAGTTCCAGTCAACCTCAGGAACAGCGATTAACATTTTGGATAGTTCAGTGATATGAGCTCGAAATACCTTTAATGGAAAAAAAACCTTGGAAACAACATGCAGTGTTGCTCATTTGTTCTGTTCTACCAAGGTATTGCTTTTTCTTAATTAAAAATAATAGGCATAAAAACTGCAACAGTGGAATACATGTAAAACCCATATTAATTGAAATTAAGTGGAAAATTGAACAAGCGTATTACATTGCAATACACAAAACTTGGTTTAACCAATTATTCATCCTCAAAATTAACAGCTCACAAACCGTGCAGTTAATTATAGTAGCCATTAGAATGAATCAGATTTGCATCAGCAATAGTATTTATTATGAAATGGTATTTCAGCTGCTTTATTGTGTGTGATTGCTTAAAAATGTAATAACTTAATTCTTACAGGAACACTGTCCACTGGGCTTTGTGCTTCAGTTTTATAGAATTATTATTCTCACTTTCTTTAAGCGTTGAACCTCATTCAGGTCACCTGATGATTTGTAATGAGGTTGCTTAGATCTTCATAGAAGCTGCTGGCAATTGTCAATGGAGTTGTGAGGGAATTGGCTGTTGTGAGAATTTTAATATACTTCCTGCAGCTGGAGAAAACATTTCCCTGAGATTTTAACTGCCTCACTTTGCTATGTAGGGACAAATCCAACCTGTCAAGTCTGACTGTCGGTTTACAGTACCTCAGGACTCTGTAGTTAAGGGGAACATCTTGAAAACTGAGACAAAAGAAAATTTTTGCTCTTTAACATACCACAATACAGTCTTAAAAAATGCCAGTATTAAAAAAAGTTAATTCTGAAAGTGATTTTCAACCCATTTCACAAAGTACTTAGGCACATCAGACTTGAAGCATATAAGTAACCCTATTTACCTCAGTGATCCTATGAGTGGTTTTAAGGGAAGGCTGAATACACAAGCTAAAAGGTAGTCTCTCAGTTAGAAAAAAGAGTAGAAATATTTTAAATCTATCTCTGCAACAAGTATGATTTCAGTAGCCTTAAACACATTGTTCACTTAAGTGTTAGTTAGCCTATTGTTCTTGCTGGAACTTGAATGCATATTCTTAAATTCATCCACAAGTGCTGTCATCAGACAAGGACCTTTCCTGACACAGGGTCATCATGAGATGGAGATGTGGCACGGATGAATTTAATGATGATGACACCAGTAATGTTCAATGGAATTGACTTTACAGATTAAACTCTGAATCAAGAGTAATGAAAAAATCTAATAGAAGTTGAGGAGTTCCTACAGAATTACTGGGCAGAGAATAAATATCCACAGACTGTAACCCATATGCTTGTTTATAATATCCATAGTAGAACTCTTTTCTATTAGAGTGAAAAAAAACCATATCTATAAAAGATCTGTTTTTCTCCATCTTGTACATTCCCATATGAGAAAAATTTGCAAAGAAGAAAATAAAAATGTCTTGCTTTCCTGCAGGCTGGGAAAAGCCAGCGTGATGCCGTTTAATGTTGGCACGTAGGGATAAGCAGGACATGTTCACATGAATGTTTTAGTTCAGTTCAGGTGTGGGCTTTCAAAGCCAATCTCCAAACCGTTCCTGCTCACTGTGCTTTGGTTTGGACTGGGCGTCACAGTTTCGGAGCAACGTATCAAATTTCTTTTGAAAGACACTAAAACAGATAAAATGCCCCAGGAAAGCACAGATAAAGTGCCCCAGGAAAGAACCTAATGCACCATAGCTGCAAATGGGTGTTCAAACCTTAGGACCAGGCTACAGCCAGCTTAGAGTAAACCTTCCCCAAGCTGTGAATCTTTCCTGGCCCGCGGAGTTTGCAGTCAGACTCAGCGTCACTCCTGGTATGCTGCAGACAGCAGGAGTTGGAGGTACAGAGGTGACAATGTGCCTGGGCCAGGTACAAAGCTGCATTTCGTATGTCTCCAGTTGATGCTCATTGCAATTTTGACAGGCTTAAGTACCTCTTCTGTGGTAGGACTGAGCAATTTTTTCAAGATGTAGCTCATTTTCCCCACAAACATTGTTTGGAATAGTATCAGCCTATTTATGAAGCTGTGCTGAATTTGGTGATTATGTCCAAAGGTTTATAGAAAGTAATCTGTACTGCAGTACCTCAGAACCAATAAATTGCAACACTGTGTCGTGATAATTACTGCAGAAATCAAAAAATTCTGCCTCCTACAATTAAGATGTACAAGGCAATGGAAGAATGCAGGGTTAATCAAATCATACCTAACAAGGAAAGTGGGACAGTACTTGCAATCATAAATGGCCAAACATTGTAGCATTCTCTGAGAAATTAGGAAATCTCAGTGGTTAGAGCACGTGAGCAGATCCCTCAATTCTGTTCCGTTTATTCCCTATTCTTTTTTGTCCAAGTGATATTGGTAAGTAAGGGCTTACCCTATTATTTTCCAAGCTGTGAGATCATGAGGCAGTTCCAGATTTGAAGTCACATCGCCATTTCTGTCTACAAAATACTACATAGACAAATCCTGTCCCTTCTTTGGCAAATCAGATAACCCATCTGTCCTTCAATTTTCCATCTAATATTTTCTTTCTACTGCTTTTTATCTGCCATCTTTCTCTAGACTAAATATTCCTCAGGAAGAGGACTACTTCTCATTATCTTCCTGTTTTTCCTCTACTTAAGGCAATGGGCTTGTTATTGGCTGGAGTTTTTAGGTGCTATTGCACTCTCTCTGAAATGGAAGTAAAATCATCCTGGATTTCATGGGAAATGTAAGTATGTAAATACTTATTTTACAGATCATTTAGGAATCTATGTATACAGGATTCAGGTCAGCCTTTGCAATATGGTTAAATGCATTAAATATCAGTTTAGGAATTTGCTGCCACTGGAGTAGGTGGTTATTATCCATGCTTTTTCCTGCTTAAATATATATTCTGTATGTCTGGATTTACCTGTATGTTCCCAGCTTTATTATAGGACTGTGACTACACCAAAGGCGAAGAACAGTCTGAGAATGGTATAAACTCAGAGCATCGTAACCTGCACCTTTTCCGCCCACACTGCTGGGAGTGACCCAGTTTGGGACACTCCAGCAATATCATAGCAGAGGATAAATGGGCTATGCAGAGCGATCACACACAGTGCTACTCAGCAGCACCTCATGAAACAAGGCCTGGGGCCATGCGAAGGCAAGCTCAGGTATGTGCACACCACAGCTACGGAGTCTGAGCTGAAGCAGCCTGCTGACATGAACCTGGGAGTTTATAAGGGGCGCTGGGCAGGGCTGGCTCTGAAAGCAGCCTTGAACCTGTGATTAACCGTGCAGAGACTGCCCAGCATTAAACTCGTCGTCCAAATTTGTTCTTTTCTGTTGTCACGTCTC